AGCACTAAGTCAGTGGTTTGTTGCTTCCACTCACACCAGGGAGAATTAATTAAAAGTCACCCGCACATTCATGATAAGCCACAAGTGCAATACCAAAACCATACTGTTGCAATACTGCTGGCAAATTGTCATACTGTAGCAGTTTTAAACTGCATTTAATGTTGCCTTTTAAATAGTTATGACCCACCCTGGGAGCTTATGGTGAAGGGTGGGCAATAAAGCAAACAAACAAATAAACAACTGCCTTACACACTATTCCCAGTTTTCAGCACAGAGATCTTAGTGTAACCGGTAAATCTAAGCCATAAATCTGTATCTGTGCTGTACCACTTCTGACAGCAAAGAAATTCAGTGAACATAAAAAACTAGCATGTTGTTGAAAGGAGTGCCAAGTAGTGGCAACTTGGCTGGGCAGAGCTATAACCCATGACACTGCCATATTTCCTGCATCTAGGGAATCTCTTCATACAAAGAAGCATTTTCACCTGGACCCCCACCTGCTATCTGAAATAGAATCAGACACAGGTTGCTTTACTTTGATGATCAAGAATCTGGAAACCAAGCCTTATGAGGAACGGTTGAGGGCGTTGGCATATTTAGCCCGGTAAAGAGGAGACTGAGAAGAGATATGGCAGCCATCTTCAAATATCTAAAGGGCTGTCATATGGGAGGGAATAAGCTTGTTTTCTCCTGCTCTGGAGGGTAGGACCCATACCGATGGGTTCAAGTTACAAGAAAGGAGATTCTGACTTAACATCAGGAAGTACTTTCTGACACTAAGAGCTGTTAGAGACAGTGGAACAAACTCTCTTGGGAGGGTAGGCTCTCCTTCCCTGAAGGTTTTTAAGCAGTGGTTGGATAACCATCTGTCATGGATGCTTTAGTTGAGATTCTGCATTACAGGAGGCTGGACTAGATGACCCTAGAGGTCCCTTCCAACTCTACAATTCTATGATTCAATAGTACCTCAGTGAGAACTAGGCCTTAAAATTTAAAACTTTCAGAGTACTTAAGCAAACACCCAGAGATTTCACGCTGAAGCTTTTGAAGTGCAATAAGCAATACCATATGCTCTCTCTTAGCACTGGGAAAATGTAAATTCACCAAGTATTGCAAATGTGTTTGGTAGATTTAAGAGGAAGTAGGAAGTGTGAGTGTAGGTGGCTTCCCACATTTATTTGAACAAAACAACTTTCCAGTTTGTAATCATCATCATCATCATCATCATCATAAATTTTATTTATATCCCGCCTTCCCCAGCCGAAGCCAGGCTCAGGGCGGCTAACAACAATAAAACAGTACAAAAGTACAGCACAAACAACACTCTAAAATCATTCATTATAAAATTAATTAATTCAAGCCACTGGCAACCATTGGGCCAGAGCTCCGCGAAGATTGCCGAGGGAGGGAGTCAGGCTGTGCCCTGGCCAAGGCCTGGTGGAACAGCTCTGTCTTGCAGGCCCTGCGGAAAGATGTCAAGTCCCGCAGGGCCCTGGTCTCTTGTGACAGAGTGTTCCACCAGATCGGAGCCACGGCCGAAAAGCCCTGGCTCTAGTTGAGGCCATCCTAACTTCTCTGTGGCCTGGGACCTTCAAGATGTTTTTATTTGAAGACCGTAAGTTTCTCTGTGGGGCATACCAGGAGAGGCGGTCCCGTAGGTACGAGGGTCCTAGGCCGTATAGGGCTTTAAAGGTTAAAACCAGCACCTTAAACCTGATCCTGTACTCCACCGGGAGCCAGTGCAGCTGGTATAGCACCGGGTGAATGTGATCTCGCAGCGAAGACCCCGTTAGGAGTCTCGCTGCAGCATTCTGCACCCGCTGGAGTTTCTGGGTCAGTCTCAAGGGCAGCCCCACGTAGAGCGAGTTACAATAATCCAGTCTGGAGGTGACCGTCGCGTGGATCACAGTGGCTAGGTCAGGGCGAGAGAGGTAAGGAGCCAACTGCTTAGCTTGGCGGAGATGGAAAAATGCCGCCTTTGTTGTAGCTGCAATCTGCGCCTCCATGGAAAGGGAGGTGTCGAAGATTACACCCAAACTCTTAACGGACGGTGCTGGCACTAATTGCGCCCCGCAAGAGATGGGAGTTGCCCCCAATCCCATATCGTCCCGTCCCAGCCACAGGACCTCTGTCTTCGAAGGATTTAGCTTCAACCGGCTCCCACGTAACCATCCAGCCACAGCTTCCAAACATCTGGTCAGTGTGTCTGGGGCCGAGTCAGGATGGCCATCCATCAACAGATAGAGTTGGGTGTCATCAGCATACTGATGGCAACCCAGCCCAAAACTCCGGACAAGCTGGGCGAGGGGCGCATAAAGATGTTGAAAAGCATCGGGGAGAGTATCGCACCCTGAGGTACTCCACACACCAAGGAGTGGCGCGATGACAATTCCCCCCCAAGCGCCACCCTCTGTCCCCGACCAGAGAGAAACGAGCGCAGCCATTGAAGGACTGTGCCCTGGATCCCCACGTCGGCAAGGCGGTGGTCCAGAAGTTCGTGATCGACCATGTCGAAAGCTGCTGACAGATCTAGAAGAATCAGCAGCCCCGACCCACCTCGATCCAGCTGTCTACGAAGATCATCTGTTAGGGCAACCAGAGCCGTCTCGGTCCCATGACCAGCGCGGAAGCCGGACTGGAATGGATCCAGAGCCGATGTTTCATCCAGAAACCCACCAAGCTGTTCAGCAACCGCTCTCTCAATCACCTTACCCAGGAACGGAAGATTCGAAACCAGGCGGTAATTGGATAGATCTAAAGGATCTAATGATGTTTTCTTTAAGAGCGGGCGCACCACTGCCTCCTTCAGTTCCCCTGGGAATGTCCCCGTGCCAAGGGACAAATTGATGATATCCCCCAGGAGGGCCCGCACCTCGTCTGGACACGCTCTAATCAGCCAAGACGGGCACGGGTCGAGAGGACAGGTGGTGGGCTTTCCAGCTCGGAGGAGTCTGTCCACATCGGCTGGGGATATCCGGTTGAAGTGGTCCAATACTGGACCCGAGGACAGTCGAGGGGCCTCCAGTTCCTTTATTGTATCCAAATTGGCAGGGAGGTCATGGCGGAGCAACAAGACCTTCTCCGCAAAAAGCTCGCAAATGCCTCACAGCTGTGTGTCAAATTGTTATTTAAATTTGGCTGTCCCTCAAGGGACGTTAAAGACCTGATTATACTAAATAATTGCGCCGGGCGAGAGCTAGCGGATGCAATGGAGGCCGAGAAGTAAGACTTCTTAGCAGCCTTCACCGCCATCTCGTAGGTTTTCATAAAAGCCCTATAAGATGTTCTTGAGGCTCCGTCACGGGCACCCCGCCATACTCGCTCTAGCCGTCTGAGGTCCCGCTTCATTTTCCGGAGCTCCTCGGTAAACCAGGGAGCCCGGTTTCTGCGGGGTCGCAGAGGGCGCTTAGGTGCGATCTCATCGATGGCTGCCAGGAGCTGGATATTCCAGCCCTCAACAAGCTCAGTCAATGAGTCGCCGGGGGAGCAAGGTCCCGCAAGGCTTGGCGGAATCTATCAGGGTCCATCAGCCTCTGCGGGCGAGCCCAAATCGGCTCGCCACCTAAGCAGGGTGGGGGTGGAAAGTCAATCCTGGCTTTCAGAGCGTAGTGATCAGACCATGGCACCTTCATCGAAGGAGACATGATCACATCTATACCTACGCCAAAGATCAAATCCAGCGTGTGGCCTGCTTGATGTGTGGGGCCCGAAACAAACTGGGAGAGCCCTAGTGTCGCCATGGAAGACACCAGGTCCAGAGCCTGTGAGGAGGGAGTGGCATCAGCATGGATGTTGAAGTCCCCCAATACCAATAGGTTAGGGAACTCCAAGGCCCAGCCGGCCACCGCCTCCAATAGGCCTGACAGGGTGGCTGCTGGTGCGCTAGGTGGCCGGTACACCAGCCAGACAGCCAAGCTCTCCTCGGAGCCCCACACTAGGCCAACACATTCAATGCCGGGGATCGATGGCGATGGTAGAGCCCTGAAAGGACAATCTTCCCGGATTAATAATGCCACCCCTCCCCTGGCCCACAGTCCGCGACTGGTGGAGGACGGAGAAACCCGGGGGCGCCATCTCTCGTAAGGTAACTGTTGCCCCTTCGCGCACCCAGGTCTCCGTCACACAAGCCAGGTCGACCCCCTGCGAGATAAAGAAATCTCGCAGGGTGGCGGTTTTGTTGCCTATAGACCTGGCATTGCACAGCACCAGTGACGGAGGTGAGTAATCCTTGCTCACCCTACCCTCGTCCCTCGGGATGAGGCGCAGGTTGGAAGGGGTACGAGCATATCCATATCTCGATCCCCTTCGCCTATAACATCTGCCCCCACTGCCATACCTCCCTCGCCCCTCCACGGTAGCAATCCCAAGCCTCATAGTAGCCTCCATTGATGGCAATTAATGTTATTCTTTCGCAGCCTAAAACAATAAAACCTTAAAACAATAAAAACAAAAAACAAAAACAACCCAGAAAACAATAAAACAATACAAATAAAAACTGCAAAAATTACAAATTCATCAAAATCTAACAAATTCCCAAGCCCACCCAAACATCCCTCCCACCCCCATATATAAAAAAAATAAAGGGGAAGGGAGATTTTAAAACATGTTAAAAGAACTCTGCACCCCTCCGGGTCCTCCTGGGCAGTAGCAGCATCAGTGGCAACAACCGTCCTTGTGAGGCCCCACCCTGGGCCAGATAGTAGGTGGCAGGAGCAGTCCTTGTGAGGCCTGTCAGGCCCCGCCCTGGGCCAGGTGGTAAGTGGCAGGAAGGAGCAGGGCCCTCAGGCACTCACACAGGGGAATCCTCCTGGGCAGCAGAGCAGTCCTTTTGAGGCTTCAGGCCCCGCCCCAGGCCAGATGGTAGCTGGGGAACATATATACACTCTGAAACCAATTTGCTGTGTTCTGTTGCTTTCTTCTGTGTTAGAATCATAGAATTGTAGAGTTGGAAGGGATCATGACTGTCATCTAGACCAATCCCCTGCAATGCAGGAATCTTTTGTCCAACGTGGGGCTGGAACCCACGATCCTGAGATTAAGAGTCGCATGCTCTACTGATTGAGCTATCCTAGCAGAGTTAAAGTAGCTGTTGTTCAATGTGGTTCTGCACACAAAAGCCATACCAGCATGTTACTGGTAAAATAAGCCAATGAACTTTCACCTCTTGTCTTGAGCCAATTTGTATTTAGCTGGTGATCACATGAATTAAGAGCCTATGCAGTTCCAAGGTAATTCGCTACTGGATGGAGGCCAGTCAGCTATTAAAAACCAAATAGTAGTTTTATAAAACAGTTGGCTGATGCTGAAATGTCGAGAGACAAGGCTAAGTAGACAGGTTAAAATGCATCTCAATTTTATAGGGATAGTTTACAAAACTTTGCAGCTCGAGATTGTTGTCGTCACTAGCAGAAAAGCAACATGATAAAAATTATCCTAAACCTGATTCACAGAACAGAATGGCATTGTTGGAACAATTTTAATGAAAGTTATTTCCCCTGCTTTATGAATCAAGAACTTTTGAAAGGCAATCTGGTCATGTGAGACAAGAGGCAAGCAGAGGAACACAGGTCTGGTGCAACAACAGGGAAGCTATGGTAGGCCCCAGTATTACGCCCCCATACCCAAAATATCCCCCATTGTTAAATATCTATTACAGAATTAGAAGTATTGACCCAGATTAAAGTTTAGAACAATGGATTGGAGAATGTCAGTTAATGCAAAAATGAATCAATGAATATTCTATTATCTATTTCCATTAGCCACTATAATTATACATTTCAGTGGTGCAAAAGTGCAACTCCATGCCATCATATACTCATGCACGTGTCTTGCATACATTTATTAAACAGGGGAAAACAGACTATAGTTTGGAAACCAGAAGATATTTGTACCACCACACAGTTTGGACAAATATCATCATTTTGCAGAATAGCCACAGAACACAACATCCTTGGCATGTTAGAGGAGGAAAAGTTCCTTGCTTATGGTGCTGAAGGGAAGCCACAGACAACTGAGATGTTTTCTATACAACTAAGCCTTGTACTTGGAAAGAGAAAAAATACCACAACAGGAAAGAAAGAAAGAAAGAAAGAAAGAAAGAAAGAAAGAAAGAAAGATTATGGCCTCAGTTAGAGTTGCAAGACTGTAACTTTGATCCAGAGAAATCTAGATCTAAATAGGTATAACTGAACTTTGTGAAATATCTGAAAACCTTTCAGTTTTTGACAAGCAATGGCCACTGATTTCAGCTCGAGTGATTTTGCTCTGGTGGCAAAAGACAGCAGCGATTGCAGTGTGGTGACAGCTCAGCTGGGGCAAATGAAGAAACAAAGTGCCAAATTCAAGAAGAAAACCAGCTCCAATGATGATCCCGACAATCCGGTGAGGGGAAACAGGTAAAGGCTCCAGGGTGCAGGTTGTTTAAATGGCCAGGGCACAGACCAGAGGGAAGCCTTCCTGCACTGTCAACTGTTCCCCCTGGCCCAGCCCATATCCAAGCCTGCAGCCCCATTTGCCAATCCTGGGTACAGGCTAGGATCCAGCTCCAGACAGGATGCCAATTCTGAGTTCCCTCACCGGAGCCTTAAAGGAGCCTCCACTATCCTGCAATGCCGCCACACCGAGAGGGTGAGTGAACTTTTTGACAAGTTGCATGTGAAACTCAAAAATTTCATAAGTGCAGGGAGCTACAATATACTAAGAAAAATAAAGGCTGTATAAATAATCATTTATTCTCCTAAGTAGTCTGGGTGTTTATTATTTACATTTTGCTCTTGTCATTAAAAGTTTAACACCCCAAAACTTTGTTCACTTCTTTCTACCGTGGGTTTGAGAACTCTGACTGCTTTGTATTGTTTCATCTTGACTGTAGCACTGCTTTACTTTTTAGTACACCAATTTCTCATCATTCCCCACTTTTTATTTTGTATTCTGCCACTCTTTTTTCCTGATCCTTTCTTCACTCATCTCTCCACTTCTGTCAACTAGGTTTTCCTTTCCATGCCATATCCATTTAAAGTTTCCTCTCTTTGTTGATGAATGCTTGTATTTCTTCACTCTGCGGATATTCTCAGCTTCAAAAGTCAAAGGTTATAAAATCTTAATGCAACAACTGAAGGCTGATCTCAGGCATCTGTCCTTCAGATTTGCCTTTTCAACTTCTCTATTACTTCCTTATTCTTTGTACCAGAGGTAGCCTCCAGATGTTTTCAAATACAACATTCAGCATCCCTGACAATGGTGGTCAAGGCTGATGGGAGATATAGTTCACAATCTAGAGCAGGGGTTGGCAAGGTTTACCTCACCTGGGCTGGTTCACTCCTGCAGAGATCCTCTATAGGCCGGATTGTGAGCATGCGTGAACATGCACGCCTGCGACTTCTGGCATCTGCGTAGACGTGATTTCCGGTGACGTGGGAGCGAGTCCCCACACTGTGCCGGTTTAGCACAGAGCGGGGGGACTCGCCAAACGGGCAGCTCAGTTCGGGGTCGGCTTGGGGGCCGGTTAAATGACCCCCGTGGGCTGCTTGTGGCCCATGGGCACTTAGGTTGCCGATCCCTGATCTAGAGGGTGCGATATTGGTTATCCATTTTTTATACACTCATCTCTAAATTATGCCTTGCTTAATTTCTGTCTAAAAGTGCCAATGGAGTATAAAAGCAGCAATAGTCATATTCACCCTTTCACATGTCCCTCCCTAAAGGTATTCCAGGGATCAGTCAATATCCTTGGAGGGATGTTGTTGTGGTGTTGTTGTTGTTTTATTTATACCCCATCCATCTGGCTGGGTTTCCTCAGCCACTCTGGGCACACAAGGCGAATTTTTCCCTATAATACCCTGTACTAACATTCAACTGCTTTTTCCTACAGATATAGAATACTTACAGGTCACTCATATTAGGTTAGCTATGCAAAACAATGACTTCCATTGACTAAATTTGCAGTGCACTATCTGAAATGTTGGAAGCCGCCCAGAGTGGCTGGGGTTACCCAGTCAAATGGGTGGAGTATAAATAATAAAGTGATTATTAAAATGATTTCCATCTTTGCCAATAAGTACTCTCACATTTTCTTTACTTTGCCTCAGACAGTATCACACCAGATTAGTGATAAAGACAGAGCTGAAAAACTGCTGGTATTTATATTTTGAATGGGGAAACAATCATGCTTCTCTGTTCCTTGTCTTTACTGCAAACTCAGATTTTTAAAATTATTTCCTCCCGCCTCCTACCAAGTTGTGCCTAATCAAGTTGTGCAAACTCCCCCATTCCATTTTAAGAATATTACAAAATGCAGATTCAGACTTTTTCCCATCTTGCCCAACAACATTTCCTTCTCCAATTCCCTCCAACCTGCTTTTTTGTTTTCTTTTGTTTTTTGCTTAGCATCCAGCCTAATGAAGTGTTTTGATAGAACATAAAAACCCCTCTTGTTTGGGACTTCAGTTTATCTTAATAAGGGGTGGTAGTGGAAAGAAGATCAACAAGGAAAAAAAATAAAATCACTCTACTATTACTTTGGGTTCCCACCCCAGTTAAATTATCAACACAGCTACATGCAATCTGTGTCCAGAATAACTTCAACTTGTTTTTTTAAAACAAGTATTTCCCCAGAAATTTAAAAATTATTCTAGTCTTGTGACATGGGTAAAACTGATCTCATCTGAATAGAACTCAGTATTTGTTTGGCTATTATATTTCTGTGCAATCATTAAATGAACATCATTACTGTATCCAGGAACTATACTATTGTAAGCCATATATAAAAATATGCAAAACAAAATCAGCTCCAAATTCACTCTGCAAGCACAGCTGCCTATGTCTTATATATGGGTTTGAAACAAATATACTTTTCCTTCCTTTGTCATGACAGCTATTCCAGGTTTCTTCTGCTTGGATTACTGCACATAGACCTTTTGAAGTGACATGTTTGGATTGTTTTCTTATACTTTATCCTGGGAATACTGGTATATAAATAGGAACCTAAGCAGCTGCATTAAACGGAGTAAGACTATTGGTCCATCTTGCTTAGCATTGTCTAAACTGACTGATGGTGGCTCTTCAGGGTTTCAGACAGAGGTCTTTCCTGGTTCTACCTGGGAATACTGGGAACTGTACCTGGGATCTCTTGCGCTGCAAAGCATGTGCTCTACCAGAGAGTCACAACCCTTCATCATTGAGAAGACCCTCATTCCTAAAACATGCCAGGGAAAGTTCAGTAGTGTGGTTCTCTGCACCATTCTACAGACGCAATACATCTGAATTACTTCAAATTGCTGAGTTTCAGAGTTAGGTTAATTGGTGGGAAAGCTTCAGATTTTCCAGCTCACACAGCTGGAACAAATCCTTTTAAAGCACAAGAGGTCACTTGCTGCCCATCTAGAATATTGGTTTTTAGTCTTCCCAATTCAATATAAGCATTTAATTCACCTTGGAAATTCCTAACAGCTTTCTCCATGATTACTTTTGATCTGATTTTAAGTTTAGAGGGAATACTTTGGCTTCCAAAGCCTGCACTTTTGAACTACTTATATTAAAAGTAAAACCAGTTTAAATTGCATTTCATTTTCTAGACAAATAAATTGTTACAATAATGTCCAACAAAGTATCCATTGATATAAAAACTCATTTCCCCCACAAACAGGAATATCAGAATTAGAAACTTAAATCATTTTGAGATTCTAAGGCTCCCAATGAATTCGTACAGTTGACTGAAAGCCAATTTAGGTATTACCCAAGCACTGCAGCTGCCACCTATGAATGGTTCTGTCTCACATCTCTCACCATTAACACTTGAAGTGGGGAACCACATAGAATAAACTTCTTCAGAATAGTCCACACCAATCCTGAAGCTGTTTAGAGGCTAACAGCACTGATCCAGAAATTTTCTGAATGACTCACCTGAATGGCTGTCATTCTCCAAACCCGATTACAGTACATGCATTTTTCTATAAGGCATGGGGCCAGACCACATGGAACAACGAACCACACTGAACAAAAACGTATCACTCACTTTTTTTAATTGGTCCAACAAATAATCAGATGCAACATTCTGGCTTTACTTAGAACA